TTTTTTTTTCTTTTTAAAGACGATTACGAGTTTTCGAAGCTTATTGCTTATTACTATTTTCTATACGCAAATGATATAATGCAATAATGGATCCTGATTAATCCCTTGCAATTAAATGTACCATAAATTTTTTATTGCTCTTCAAAATACCGATTAGTAGTTTGTTTAATCCAATAAAAAAAATGATAAGTTAGACAGGGCGAAGCAAAATATTGTCGAGAAAGGATCAAATTTAAACAGAAAAGCAAGAAATTTGAAATTTAACAAAATGCTGAAAGAGTTAAGCTGCGTTTCTCTCCACGACAGATGTGTATAAGTTTGTTCTGGAAAGCAGTGTATAAACGCAGTATGTATATACATGTATTAATGATATATATGATATATATCGTCTTTATTTTTATTTCGTACATAAAGGAAAGGTTTAATTTTAGCAGCCTACAACTGGATTAAACACATCTAAGCATAGCAGCTATTATATACAGGATGCTAATTGCTAGATTTTGAAAAAGTTAAATTTAGGGTTATCCACAAGGAAATTCATTATATCCACCTGTCCGGTCTTTTGGATTTGGTGCTATGCCGCAGTCGGAAACACCAACGTTTTCTTCTGAACAGGTATCCATAAATTTTTTGTAAAATCTTGCTGCAAATGACGACCGAAAAATTATACAAACGAAATTGAGCAGATGCTTCTGTAATTGCCGTAATTTACGAAATAAACGTAATCTTAGTTGAAGTCCTGGTGAATGGAAGCTGGAAAAGGAGGACACTAAGGATGTAATAAAACTGGTAGTCCCAGTGTGCTAAACAGTAAAGTAATTAGACACTTTTCGAAAAAGAAAGAAACGATTAGCAAGGAGAAGGTAGGCGATTTTAACAGTTTTTCAGAAACAACGATTAAAACTTGCTTTCTTTAAACTTAAATATTCAGCTTTTCTATAGTAAACAATTTTTTATTAATCTACTAAAATTGTACGTGAAATACTAGGATCAAGCGCAGTTCACAGTCTGATTCCCACATCTGTGTATTACCGACAAGTTGCTTTGACCATGCCGCATCCCCCTGGCTGATAACTAGCTGGCGAATCCAGCGTTCGTTCCATCTCAGCGTTTTTTCCGATAGAAACACTTGGCATGTCGTTTTGAGATTTTCATGGTGTGTGTTGGGCATCACCAGCACATTCCGAACGTTGCTTCTCTTAGCCCACGAGAAGAGTACGTTAAGGTATATTATTAAAATAATTCTGGTCATATTCACGGTAAGTAAAAGACTGAAAATATTATGAGCCTTCGAAGGGGAAAAAAAACATATTTTCTAACAATTTGAAAGCAAGGAAAAAACAGTGTGGGAATTTAGTTAAGCTACTGTGACGAATAGCACTGACATCTTCTTTAAAGTGCGCAACAAGGGCTGGTGAATCCTAGGTTAAAATCTGAAACTTTCTAGTGTTTTTTTTTATTCATTAACAATAACACTTCAACTACAGAAAACCGATAGTAATGCATCAACAACACTTCAACTGCAGAAAACGGATAGTAATGCATTAGTAAAAACATTTATTATTTGGTATTGCTAGCAACAGCAAATTTTATCGTTGTGCAACTTTACTCTTTATCATCACGAGGATGTGTAGACTACCGATGTGTTTTCCTGTGTACGAGCACAGCCGCTATAACTGGCATTTTCATTTTAAGTTTCTCGCCCCAAGTTTTCGTGGCGCCATCTTTGCTTCTCATTCTTATTTTGACTACTTATCCGCTCACTAGAAATAGCTCTCAAGCGATAATTTTCTTATAGGCGTCTTGTCTGGAAAGAATTAATAGCATCACAAGTATTAGAATATCAATACTTTCCCATAATAGTAGGAATTTTTCATACGCTTCTTTCTCAAGTTCCACTCAGCAGCGCAGTTCACATGATACTCGAATTTTTGACTAGTTTTTGCAAAATTCGTCATTTTGCTATCTTAGATCTAAGCCTAATTCGAAAATTTTTCTTGCAATTAAATATTTATTTATCCGGAATATGTGTGTATGTAGATGGATAAGTAACTGAGGAGCTTCAGTTTCAAGAGCTGATGGATATAATCCTCGTCTTTACGCACACATATCATTTATGTATTAGCACCCAGCAAACAAGCGCTATTCCAAAGTGTATGCACATTTATTACAATTTCTCCATATAGCATATTTAAGATCTGTTTTCCACACCCTCCATGTCTTGACCAACGAGGTGGCAAGAATTTAAGCTAGGAAGAACAAAAAAATCAATTTTTCGGGAAGAATTCCGATAACTTACATGAGAGATGCAATATCTGGCAATTGGGCCATATAAAATGCATAAGTAAAGGGCAGAAGCGGTCCATGTTGAAGGGTTTTAGTCGTCCTGGCCTCAGGAGAGATTCTACTGATTGCCGATTAGAATTTCTGATGCGTAGGCCTTGATGAACATTTGCCCAACATCAAGGGGCCACGTCAAGAAAACCGATCGCGAAATGCACTTACATGAAAAGCAAATGTACATCAGCCATCATAACCTCAAATGAATCTTCAGTTTTAGCACAAAAAATTTCATTTGACTCCGGTTTTACTAGCTACCTGGGGTTTTACTAGCTAACTGCAACACTGAATGACCGGAGTCATTCAGTGTTGCAGTTAGCTAGTAAAACCCCAGGTATATGACTTTACGTCATTCGTTGTTCCACATGCTAGATAATTTTAGTAAATCATAAATGGCTGTCACTGGTGTAGTGCATTTTGTGATTCCTAAGGATGCTCACTGAACACATGTGTGCGTAAGGCGTCTTTGCTTCATCTGAAACTGTTGATGATCTTGTGCACGAACTGAGGTTCCATTCCATCAAAATCCTGAATATCCAAACGACCCTGTTTTGGAATTATGTGGGCTCAGGTTTAAAGACAGGAGTTATAGGCATACTGCAACAGTATAGTTTGGAAGTTAATTTTGGGTTAATTAATGCACATCCACTAAGCAGACCTGCCGCATCTTAAACAAAATACTGGCTTGGTTTTTGACTGCCTGTGGTATTTTAATGACCCTGAAACTGAAACCAAAATTTGTAAAGCTTCGGAACAAAAAATAATAAAATAATGCTGAAGTATTTTTATTAAAATAGCAAAGACTGATATCAGTAGGGAATCTTAAATGTATTCTTGCAAAGCCCTGTTTCTGATCTTAAGTTTGCTCTTGTGCACCGGAATCCAGTTTTCAGTTTCTTCACCAGATGCACACGCATTAGTGAACCTAAACGTGTTTCGTTTGAATACTGATTTTTTATTTTTATGGCATCGAAGCACTTGCTTATTTTGTTGCTTGCTCTTTTACTATAAAAGCAAAAAACATTGTAGACAGTTTATTTCTACAAAAAATATTTGATAACTGGGGCTTTGGCAGAGCTGCACCGGAAGCACGATTGCATCTTAGTAGTAGTGGCAATTTCGCTGCGTTAATCAGTGATTTCAAATGATACCATTTGCGCTGGGATACTATTACTGACATTTCTGGCTTGTTGCACAATGATTACTTAGCATTATAACAAGATGATAATTATGAGCTGTAGAGGGATAATGATAACATTTTCATCCAACCGCCGTCTACTAAACAATTCACTGACAGCTTGTTACCAAGATTACCTGACTCCACGTATAGAATCACTTCAAAATCATTCGGACGCCTAGGTTTTTTTGTAACGTTGGCTAGACAGTGGCATACTATTTGTAGGGGCTGAGCGCCATTTTTTTTAGTTTTTTTTTTGCTTTGAAGAGACACAAACTGCCTACGTCATAAAGACACACAAATAAAAAGGCACTACCATAGCTGCCATTGTAAACATGCGTTTTTACACAGTTTTATGCATTAGCAAACAGTAGGAACATTCACTACTTCAAAACTTGATACATGCGCTCATGCCAGAAATATTCGTGTTAGTTTTTATGTTTTTGCTGAGCAGCACTATATCTTTGCTACAGTGGGCAACACACATATTGTCGGGAGGCACCCAGTGTGTATGTCTGTGCGTGTGTCTGTGTGTGTGTATGTGTGCATGCGTGAATGAACTTTGTCAGCACTTTCAATTTAGCAACCAGGAAGCGGGATGCCTGAAATTCTGCGAGCGTTTTCTCAGCATGCACGTCCTACTACAACCCGAAATCGTCATAAGCACATGTAAAAGCTGATTTTACTTTGCAAAGGCTAAAACGTGGAAACCCATTCTCTTTCCTACCTATTCGAGCGACCCTCGAAGAGATAGCACGGTTTCCAAGTATTAAACTGAGCCCTCTATAATACTGAGGCAAATCACCAAAATCACAAATTCTGCTTGAACTGCAAGTTCAAAATATCGTTTTCCTTTCTTTTTTTTTAAACTCAGCTATTTTCTAGAGAATTTTTTAATTGTAATTTTTTAGATTGTAAAGATATGTGAACAACTTGAAGATGCTGGCAATGTTGAAAGGCTAGCCGCGTAAGTAACCTTTCTTCTTACTTTTTTTTAACACTCTTCATCAAAAATTCCGGAGCTGACTTACATTCGAGAAATTTGATCACTTTGTTAAACCTCAAATGAATCTTTCTCAACACCTTCTTCAAACGCCATGGACTTATTGCTAAAAGGGTATCCTTTTCAATTGTAAATTCTACAGATTTTCTGAAATCCGTCAATGCGACAGTCACCATTTGCAGATTTCTTTGGTCAATATCACACCAGCAGCACAGTGACGAAGTGACAGCCGTTTTGCGAAGTCATGAATCGGTGCTCAGAGCGCGTGCTCTCGTTTGCTTCCACATGGGAAATTTCCAAGAAATGTACCGAATTTTGGAATCACACAAGTTCACCAATGGCTCACACAGCAAGCTGCAAGCAATGTGGCAGGAAGCACATTACCAGGAAGCCGAGAAATTGCGGGGAAGGTAAAGATGGATTAAAATTTCCGGCATTTTTTTTTTGGTTTTTTAAAGTTTTTACATCGCAAGAATCATCAGAACTCTTAAATGAGCAAGTGATACGTGCTTTTTAATGATCTCCGAACTGAAGGAAATAGCGGCAAGGTTGCTCCTGAGATGATAGGACCCAACCGACTACTTGTTTAGTATAGCATGGCTTTAGCATGCCAATAACCGGCGTCAGTGACAACATTACTAGCTGCAACGATTTAGAAGTGTAACTATGATGAAACTTAGCTGCCTAAATTGTCAAAACGATTTCTTTAAATGCCTAAGTGGTCAAAGTTTTCAAGTTGGAACTACCCTGGTATCAGCAACTTTCCTTTGTTAAGCCTTCCCCCGGATAATGAAAGTCAACAACTACGATACATACAAAAAATGTCAATGCGGCCATGGTGACAGCGATGAAATGGTGATTTTTACAAATTACTTGATATTCCGCAAGCACACGTGGGAAAATGGCAAAAGCTTATTCATTTTTTAATGCCTGATTGATGCAGCTAAAGTCAACAGAAGCTTTTTCGAGAACTGCTTTCCCTTCCTTTGTTTTCTATCATTTTAACAAAAATTGTGCGTTTAGACCGCTTGGACCGGTGGATAAATATCGAGTGCGAAAAAAATATCCGATGCCACGAACAATTTGGGACGGTGAGCAAAAAACTCACTGCTTCAAGGAACGAACTAGGTTGTGTTATTATGATAATGATGATAAAAATTACCGCGTAGAAAGTTACGCTTTTCGATGCCGGTCATGTCCGTTTACCTATTTGCTGCACGGCTCATTTTTGTCCAAGCCAAATCCGAGTTATAAATAAATTATTTGTTTTTGTATCCAAAAAGTCTTTTTCGAAGTCGATATTTTAAGTGCATTTTTACGAATTTTTTATTCTTTATTATGCAGATGTTGAATTTGCACCACTGGGCTTGTTTAACTGCAAGTGACAGCGCATTATGGGTTTTCGTCAGTGCGTGCGTCCATTTTGCCGCTTTCATACTTCACGCGAGCTATCAGCTGGTCAAAAATTCCTCAATGCACCCATTTTTAGCTCCCTCCCTTGCTCCTCATATTTAATCCCGGTTACGCGCACAAATACTTGCTTATTGTGAATAATGTGAACAGTCCAATTAGTCTGAAGACTAAAAGCCTTCTAAGACGTAGTTGCAAGCGAAGACCTTTCTGGATTCCTATTTGCGGCTGTTACCAGCCGTGTTCCACTATATACGCATAACGTTCTTTTCAAAGCAGCAAGTTCTTTGTTTTTTATAATATTCATTAGCTCCGATCAGTTGAACGCTGGCTACTTATCTCCGCTTATTTTAGTTCAAGTTTTGACTAGTTTTAGTCATTTCGAAATTATTTTCGTCATTTTGCACCTTACTTTTCTCCTTTTCAATTACTTCATGTTTTTCTGCATTAGGCAACCTGCTTGACTACTTTTTGTTCAGTTTTACCACTTTTTCGTTATTTTTCACCCCATGCCATTTTTTGACGAATTTTTTCTTTTCCTCTCGCTGCATCCCTTTCGCTCCTCTTTTGCAATTTCGTACTGCCTCAGTTCGAAACGTTTCTATCATCCTGTGCATTATTTTACATCTGTTGTATAATAATTGGTGAACTTTAAGTTAGATACTGCTTAATGAGCCCGAATTAAAAGTCCGGTCTCGAAAGCTTTCAGTTTTTTCCTAGCAGACAGTCTTGAGTCAAGTGTTACAAAATAGGTATTGTTCTAGGCACCGTCCTCAACTTTGTTGCTTATTGAACTGTGCGTTCAGCGAATCCCAGAAAACTGTTTGCTTGTTCCACTGAAATATTTCGGCGAACATTTTGAACTATTCCTTTTTAATTATTACTGTTAAATTAGAAAATTCAGGGCAAATACACGCACCACCACAAAAAATTGCAGTAGCCTTAGAAATGAGACAGTGACTGCTTGTAGTGATCCTGCCTTTGTAACAAAAATACAACTTGACCATGATTCAGTTACACTTTGTGATTTGCAGTAATTTTTTCGTGTAGGTGCTCATGTTTGCTGGATGTTGTTATTGTTTCAGGTCGTTGTTACGGGAGTGGTACTTGCAAGATCCTTATCCAAATCCGAGTAAGAAGAAAGAATTGGCGTCAAAAACGGGTCTAACTGCCATGCAAGTAGGAAATTGGTTTAAAAATCGACGCCAGCGTGATCGAGCAGCTGCTGCAAAAAACAAGTTTGTTTTTTGGTACTTGATTTATCACTTTATACTATCATGCGACACTCATCATCGTGCGCTTACAGTACATTTGTTAAAACGCACTGTTCTGATACCGCTTGCTATTTAGTAATTTTCTGATTTCCTTTTTTTTCTTTCTGAGAATTTTTAATTGCTGAAGTTTGAATCATATTCAGAACACTACCATAAGCAACTGTAACCATCAGCTGCACGTTTGCAGCAAGCATGCATATTTCCCTGCGCTTTTCAAAACTGGCACAGTCTGTTTGTTTGTTTTTTTTTTTGTTTTTAATAATTAGTATTCAGCATTCTCATTATATCAGTGGCCTATGGGAGTTTATTAATTTTTTGTCCATTTCACTGTTTATTCCAACAATAACTTTTCATCCAGCGCTTTCATTTTTATGATTACCTTCACTGTTTCAGTGCTTTTTATCTATCCACACGTCAGTTACAAGTCTATAAATGTCTAATGATTAAGGGTGCGGTGTGTTATGAGTAGATGTAATTTTGATAAGAAATGTATCCTTCGGTTGGTAGCCTTCCTTTGGCCTTTTGTTTGGACTTATTTCAGTGAATAAATGAGAATCCCGTCATCATGAACCAACTCATTATCGTCATCATCAAGGAAATCATATCATTATTAACATTTTCGTCTCAAAAATACTTTTCTTTTTATGACGTGAATGATTTAAAACGTGAATATTTTAGTTTTTACTTTGTTTTTGTGGCGCGGCAAATTTTAGTGAATTCAAGTTACCCATTTTCAAACTATCTGCTATAAGTAATAATAATTTTCGATTTTTATGCGTTTTTGCTGTGCAGCGCTATAGCAAAAACGCATATTGTCGAGAGGCTGTCTGTGT